AAAAAATATCTTGCTTAATCTAAAAAAAAAAATTATCTTTTCTTTTCCTTTTCTTCCTCTTAATCGCAGTTATCATTTTCTCTAGCCGCAAACAGGACAAGACGGTGGTCATAACTCTTGTTCTACACCTGGGCTTCGTCAGTACTTATCGCTAATTATCAGAAAGGGTGGTCTTTTTAACACGACCAAACGTCGCCCCGAAAAGAACATTTCTAAGTTCCCATTCATTTCCTTTCGGTATACATTTCTGATAACATAATTTTATTATCGCAGGCTAAAGATGTTCCGTCGAAAGAAATCGGTCAGTGGACACATCGTGTGCGGCTTTTAATTTTTCATATCTATCCAAAGCCCTTTAGTCCACCTGTTTTCCGTCACTTATCGAAATAACATTTTCATTTGGATTTTTCTTTGGCCAGTCGGCCAGCAGTTTGTTTACGTATCCCAGATAACACAGCCGTCGCCAAAACACACCCGATTCCTTTATCCACTCAGAATTTCCCTGTCATTGTAATGACACTCTTTCGCCATTTGTTACTTATCAAAATATCCTTTATCCATTGTCTCTTAGCCGTGGTGTTCTGCTTATCATCCACGTTTTGGGTCTCGCCTCTTTTTTTTCCCTTCTTTTCTTTCTTTTCTTTTTCTGCCTCGGTAAATGGTGCCACACAGGTGCATTAGCGGGTTAACCTGAAAGATAACCTACTAGTCATCAGGAGCTGATCCGCACTTCCGCGTCGAGTTTGTGTACGCGTTGAAACAAACGTACATATAAACATGTAACCATCCACTCAAGATGGAAAAGAAGAATGATTCTCACGTCCTGTCGAGATCTACAATCCATGTTTGTAGAAGGCCCCCAGAACCACACACCCAGACACCAACAGTGGTTGACACAGTCCAGAGTTGAGCAAATGCACACTGATAATATAACACGAATGATAATACTACAGACATGTTGATTGGCAATTGAACAACTGAGAATTTTACACAAGTGATATAAGCAGTTTTAGCTATAATTCCAACTCAGTTCTACGATTCTCCTTTTCTCTTTGATAACATTTAATACATCATATTGGAATTCCAGCAATCAGCTATGTTTTTTTCCCAGAAATAAAAGATAAAAAAAATATCAGAAGTGTGAATATTAAAACACAGATATCATTGAATTGATTTAAACATGTTGTATATGAGATCGATAAATAGATATATAATGTTAAGTTCTATTGATCGAAAATCAATTTCTTTTTTTTATATATATATACATATCTCTATTTTCAGAATGTAACTGAAATGTTTATTTTAAATTTTTATCAGCGTTGCGTCGGAAAAACGAGCTGAACTTGCCAGAATTCGATTTATCAAAGGGTAACCAGATCAATGTCACGAAGTTGCATTACGTACGCGTTAACATTTTTCCGATTTGAAGACCAGTCAAGGGAGGTAATACGCCTTGGAGACTATGACATGATTCACAATATGCTGAAGGATTATATTTTATCTTCAACGGTGAATGGTTTTGGAGAGTGAGGGACACTACTTAAATAAAGCGGTCTACTGGTAAGAAAAGAAAAACAGAAAATCTTTTTCGGAGATTAACTCCTATAAATTAATATTCAATCAACCTTTCTAAAGCTTGACATTTTTCAGAATCAAAAAATATTGATAATTCTTTATCGATTTAAAAGGGGGTCCTGTTCATAATATAGATACAGTGTATAATTGATCCCTGATTTTCTACAGAGTTTACTTCAGTGAAACTCAAGTTTGAATCTTACCAAGCTCAATTTGAGTTGATAGCATTATCCCAGCGGGCAACACAGTAGAGAGGTGCCAAAATCCATACCACCAGCTGACCCATATACAATTAGGTGTGCTAAAACTGTTCAGAAGACCACGATGGTGAAGGTAGGGCAAAATCACAATTTGATGTGACAGAGGGTTTAAACGTACTGGCTACTGTAACTAATTCCGCTCAGCGTAGTTGGCTTCGTGAGGTTTGAAGAAATACAAATGTACCGAGGCAGGCGTCGGCAACAGTGATTAGCAAGCCGCTCAAGTAGACAGGTATGCTCGGAAAAAAAACAACCAACTATGTTAATGTTGTGGCAGGATCCACCTAATTTGCATAGTGGAGTACCGACCATATAAATATGGTTGGTACCGGGAAGACGAGGGGAGGAATCAAGAGATTCAACCAGAAACCCTGCCCGACTGCGACTCAGTCAACACATTCTCCAGGAACGGTCTTACCAGGAATATACAAACGACTATATGTAAATATTGTGTACACTTTCTTGTTTCAATACATTTTGTTCTAAGTTCATTTTGTGTTGCATTATTATTATTCCATGCATTAGTCAAGTTTCAACAATGGCGACGAGGATGAAAGAGTTAATTATTAACAAAAATGCAATCGAAAAAAAAACTAATATCAATGATTTTATAAAAGAAAATTACAAGTAACAAATGAAAATCATTTCTCGCCTCTTATTTCAATTAAAATTAAAAATTAACTACTGTTGTACTTTTTAAGAAACATGAAGTAAATATCAATGGATTAAAAATCAATTAAAATTAGCAATTGAGAATCTGTTGTACTTCATAAGAAATTTTCAAAATCAAAATTAACAAGTGAAAAACTATATTTTTTTATTAATAAACATAAAATAAAAACGCAATTAAAATTTATAATTGAAAAATTAAATAACATCAATCCTACTAAATAAGACAAACAACAAATAACTTTAATATTTACATCTTTCGGTCTGTCATCCTCATCTTTATTGCTATATTAACGACGTTTGGGCATAGGGATGTGGAATTAGAACAATCTACCCCCGTGGATTGAATAATGGTTCCGGTTCAAAATTCCAACAAATATCACCTGAAGAAGGCCGGAGCATTCAATGGCCGAAACGCCGTGAATATGCCAATAAATATGAGGACAGCTGTTCGAACGATGTAAATAGTGTAAATAACAAATAAGTTTGTTTACGTATTATTTTGTACCTTTATACATTTAAATTACAAAAATAACAACGAAAGGAAAATAAATATTTTATTTTTAGAAAAAAAGTTTTGCTGCTGCTCTACCGATAACAGATATTTTATAACCAGGTTGTTTTGAGTGCGATGTCTGCAACAATGGTTGCATTAGTAATGCTACTGCTATTGTGAATCTTGAAAAACAATGACTCGCGTGACTATATTGTTATACATTGTTACTGCAAAAGTTTGACTAAATGATTCAGCAATGGAAAACCTGAGTTTGATAAACCTTTTTTTTTTCTCTGCATTTTCTCTGCTCTTCTTCCTATCACTAAACTATCTCTCTCGATGTACAGCTCTCGTGTTCACGATTTTTTTTACCACCAAATTGAGCTAATTTGGAAATTAATCAATTTCATGTCAGAGTTTTCCAAATCAATCAACCGAAACATTTCCAAATTCCGACTCTCTAACATTACATTGTCATCACTCATAATGGGTTCTGTAATTTCTTCAAATGACGTGGACTTTAAAGAAATCAATAAAACTGAAAAAATATTGTTCAGTATTTGGCTCATTGAAGCTCGATAATTTCTGTTGAATCCTCTCAATATCTGTTTTCTCATAAATCTGAAGATCAGCCATGTATTAAAGATTTTTTTTAAACATAGGCGCGATTTTCGGGGCCTATATTGAATGTCATGAATGTATAGAGAAAGGAGTGTATATACAATATCTTGAATGTATATAGAAAAAGGTTTATAAAGTGATCTATCGTCGATACATGCATAAACATTGTAATATAGCGAGATAATAGATAGATAGATAGAGAGAGAGAGAGAGAGAGAGAGAGATACAAAGAAACAGACTGGAATAGATAGAAAGAGAGCGAGATAAATAGAAAGAGACTGAGATAGATAGATAGATAGATAGATAGATAGATAGATAGATAGATAGATAGATAGATAGATAGGAGGGAGAGAGATAAAAAGAAACAGACTGGAACAAATAGAAAGAGCGAGATAAATAGAAAGAGACTGAGATAGATAGATAGATAGATAGATAGATAGATAGATAGATAGATAGATAGATCGTCTGTCCGTCTTTGGCTAAATTTGATAACGTAAATTACGATCTTGACTAAAGCACAAGAATTCAATGGATTTCCTCAGCCAAAAAAAATAACGTTTTGAAAATAAAATTTGTTCTGCTAATCCACGATAAGGTAGTGATGACATGCTAATATCAGCTTGAGAATCTTCCGCATGGAATTGTTTGCAAGGGAAAGGATTTATGGAGGCACATATTTTGGATTTGTTATCTTTCTTTCAATAGAGACAAAACAAACAAACTGACGGACTAACAGATACACAACACGCATAAAAGGACAAATTCCTGTGGATAAGTGTGAAGTATTGACAAAAATCAATACAGTGTATATTATCTGTAATCTATAATATCGATACTCAACGTACAAATATTTATCCACAACAAAAACTAAAAAATCCCCAATATCGCATGTAATATATAAATATAAAAAGCCAGCATTTAAAATATTGATTCTAGATTCCACGGCAGGCAGCGCCAAAAACGAAAGATTGGCACAATATAATCTTCCTATGCTTACACTCTCCATTGATTTAATCTAGTTCTTCAAGCATTTATGTAGTTTTAATACCATGTTTATACGTTGTTTGGTATGTAGCAAAGGCTTTACTCTTCTTGTCAAATGTATATATATTTTTTATATAAATACAAACTTGGTTGTTTTTGTACAGCGGCATATCAACCTCTGTGGGTTATTTAATGCTAAAATCTAAATACGCATTTTTTTAGTGATACAAGTTTTACTAATTAACCCATATTTGGCGGGGGAGAAGAGGAAGATTCATACCTTTCTAAAGCATATTTACGCATAAGTGAATATAAAGAAGCCAAATGGAATTAGAACTTGGTGCTACAATTAACAATTCCGAGCCATTTTCTATTACACCACCTGCGCATCCAAGCTTACAATACCTGGTATTTCCAAACAATCACCCATCTAGGTACTGACCAGGTTCGACATTGCTTAACTTCGGTGAACGTACAGGAACCGGTGTTTC